GGGCACCTTCCCACGGGACAAACCCTCCAGTGCCAGCGTGTCTGCCATTACAGCCTGCATGGGGGCTCAGAGCCCCTCTGAAACGACCAATGACACATCTCAAGGTCAGACTTCCAGCTGTTTAAGTCCATTTGCATTTGGCAGACACTCAGCATCTTATTTTAAAGGCAAATTTGTACCTGCTTTACTGTTTCTGGTTAATAGAACCCTCAATATGCTTGCCCAGCCCAAGGCTCAAGTGTGTCTGGGCCACGGTGACAGTGACACTTTGGAAAGCACCTCTATGCCTTAAATCCTGAGGAGAGGCCAGGAAGCAGCCAAGGACTTTGAAGAGCTGCTGACACCCAGGAGGGCACCCAAAGATCATCTAGTCCAACCCTCTCTGGTGTGCTCTCTCCAAGGCCCCGAAGTAGACTTCCAGCCAAGACTCTCACACCTTCCATGACGGGGAACTTACTACCTCCTTGCACAGCCCGTTCCAATGTAAGGTAGCTGTGGTGGAGAGAACCCGCCCCAGGCTTCCCTCTACTGGCCTCCCCTTTGGCTCAGGTCTGCCAGCTGGGCCCTCACAGAGCACCCAGCGCCTGTCTCCACAGGGCAAGTGAGGAGGACCCACGCACTGGGTCTTTCTATTTGGATTTCTCCATAGCAGTTTAAACACACCAAGCCTAGGACTGAGCCCACCGTCCTGCAAGCCAAACCCACTCCTCCACCCATCGGTCCAGCCTCAGGGCGGGAGTCGGCTCATCTGAGCCCCTCCCCGCTCCGTCACGATGATACACCGACCAGGACACTGCAGTCATTAGGCCACCCATGTGCCCAGCCCTGGCCTGGGTGTGTTACATGCACACAACAACCCCATAGCACGAACTGTCCCCCATTTTACAGAGCAGAAAACTGAGGTTCAAGGAGGTCACACCACTTGACAAAGTCACACAAAGCTGCCAAGAATGGGAGCCAGGATTCAAACCCAGGTCTGATTCCACTAACCCGGTGGAAATGCCGCAACCAGCTGAGTAGTATGGCCTGTCCATTCTGTCATCTTGGTGTCCCTTGTCATGCTCCTCTGGGACCCACCCCCAAACCACCCCGTTCCCACTCCAGCCTGAGCCTTCCCAGCCAGCAGACCAGCTGCTATCCCAGGATGAAGCGGCCCGGCTGAGCCCCAGCACCTAGCACCTACTCTCCTGTGCTCCCCGCCCCCCTTCCTGTCTTTGGCTCCAGCCACACTGACCTGCTGACCTGGGGAATCTTCGGAGGAGAAGCACCGCTGTTTCTGGGGCTCCTGGCCACTCCTCTCTGTGACCTTGGTTTGCCCTCTGGAATAGACACTAAGGGGTTCCAGGCTCCTAGAATCTCAGGGGAATGGCGACTGGGGACGTTTCCATGGCCCAGCCTGCCCGGCTCCCTCTGGACACAGCTCCAGCTTCTGGGTAAACACATTCTCAGGCAGAGGCTCTGGGGTACGGAGCCCCTGGGACCCCAGTTCATGGCCTCGGCCTTACACAATAATTCAAAGATGCCTTCTGGTCAAATGCAATCAAACAGGCCTGGGCTGCTTGTTTCTGATTAAGGAAAGATTCTGATTAAGGCCAGAGAATCTGATTAAGGGTGGATCTGGGTGGTGTGTGGGGGTGGTGTGTGTGCCTGGGGAGGGGACGGCAGGGGAGGAGGGTGCAGGGGGCAGCCATCAGGGGGGTGCTCAGAGGAGTCACCATGCCTCAAGTGGCAGCAGTCCCAGAGATTTCTGTCATTCAATCCAGTGATCTGAGATGATGGCGGCTTCCCTTAGCTCTGGCCAGTGTGGCCTGACCACCCACAGCTGGGACAATGCCTTGGACCAGCAGTGACTCGGGGGAGGGAAGACGGGACAGGAGGAGGACCAGGCTGGGTCCCTGTTCTGCCACTTGCCTTGTAGCCTCAGGGAAGTCACCTCCCTCTCTGAGCCTGTTTCCTCATCTGTGAATTAGGGTGACCATAGCAACCCTTAAACAGTGCAAGGATGGGAAGGACCCAGGGGACAGGGGACAGGAACCCACTCTGGAGGGAGAGAAGGCTTGACAAAAATGTGAGCCACCGAACAACAGAGCTGTGACTAAGAGCAAGCACCTGTGTTCCAGGCTGCTCGCTGCTGTGCCCACCTCACCCACCTCAGGGCGGACGTGACAGGGAGAGCGTGCAGTGCCCTCCTGGAGAGGAGGCTGAAGCCCAGCAAGGTTAAGACATTCACTCAGGGGCACACAGCTTCCAAGCAGGAAAGCCAGAGTTCAAATCTGGGTTGGTCTGATGCCAATCCCCGTGCTCCTGGCACCAGCTCTGGCTGCTTTCAGAGGTCATTTCCGTCCCCTCTAGACCCTGCATCTCCGGGACCAAGGCTGGGCTCCAGCAACTCTGCTGTGCTAGGGCTGGGTGGGGCTCAAACTGTCCCCCTGGCCTGGACACCCAGCAGACACACTGCACTTTGGCTGACTCTATCATCAAACACTGTGCAGAGGTGACTCAGCAGAGCACCCACCCTCCTAAAGGGACAATGACACCACGGGAGTCACTGTTGTGACAGAGGGAACTCAGAGAAGTACCCGACCCAGAGATGGCTTCTGGTCCAGAAAGGTTCCTTTATTTTTCAAACAAATCTGCTCCCCCGCCATGTGCCAGGCCCTGTGCCCAGCCCTGGGAAGTGAAGTGTGAACAAGACAGACGGGCGGGCATGGACGGTGAGGCGTGCCCATCTCGTGCTATCCCCCATGGCCTCCACTCGGGGAAGCCAGGCATCATGCCCTCTGACAGGTGAGAAAACTGACGCCTGGGGATTCCAGTCCCACTTGGGCCCCACAGCAGAATCCGTGACCGTTTGGCCTGATGATGGGCTGTGAGTGTGGCTGGGGCTCCCTACAGGCAGAATTAAAGCCTCGCATCCAGGGGCTGGCCAACTGCACCTGCAGACCAAGTCCAGCCCAAGATCAAGAATGTTTTTTGATTTTTAAAAAATTTTTATTGGGTAATAGTATGTTTTTTTCCAGGACCCATCAGTTCCAAGTCAAGTCATTGTCTTTCAATCTAGTTGCAGGGGGCCCAGCCCACCATCCCATGTGGGAGTGGAACCAGCAACCTTGTTTTTAAGAGCACGCTCTAACCAACTGAGCCATCTGGCAACCGACTGGCAGCTCAGCGGCAGCTCAGCTCAAGTCGTTGTCTTCAATCTAGTTGCAGAGGGCACAGCTCACTGGCCCATGTGGGAATCGAATTGGCAACCTTGTTGTTCACAGCACACGTTCTAACCAACTGAGCCACCCGGTCACCCCTGTTTTTTGCATTTTCAAAGGATTGTAAAACAAACAACTAACGAGGACAACAAACTAAAGAAAAATACGCAACACTGTATTTGAGGCCTGCAAAGTCTAAAATAGTTACTATCTGGCCATTTACAGAAAACGTGTGTCACTCTGCTCCAGCCCAACGCCTCACTTTGCAGAGGAAGAAAACGAGTCAGAAAGTTAGGGGCTGGGCTGGGGCTGGGTCTTTGTTTCCTTCCCCACTCCAAACAAAAAGGCTGAAAACAACAGAAATGAATTGTCTCACAGCTCTGGAGGCCAGAAGTTCAAAGTCAAGGTGTCAGCAGGGCAGTTCCCTCTGAAGACTCTGAGGGCAAATCCACAGTGTCTCTCTCCTAGCTCTGGGGTTGCCAGCAGCCCTTGCCATACCTCGGTTTGTAGACAAGTGACTCCAGCTTCTGCCTCTGTCTTCACGTGTCCTTCTCCCTCGTGCCTCTGTGTGTCCCTCCTCTTCTTATAGGAACATTGGATTTACAACCCACCCTAGTCCAGTATGTCCTCATCTTCAGTAATTATATCTACAAAGGCCCTTTTCCAATAAGGTCAGAATCTGAGGCTCTGGGTGAACCTGAATTTGGGGGACACTATTCAATGTACTACAGTCTAGAGCCCCCAGTTTTTCCACCCATTAATGCTGTTTCCTCCGAAGCACTGTATTGTCAGGGATGTGGCCATTCCTGACCCCCCACACACATACACACACACACACACACATACACTCTACTCCACATGACAGGTGGGCACGGCGTTCCAAGGACAGGCTGGAAACAACATGAAGGCTGGCACACAGCCACAACAAATGGCTTGTTTCTTGCCAAGCCCCACTGCCAATGTCTCCTGCCGTGAGAATGAACCTCCGGCGATAAAGGTGAGAATAAGATCATTCTTTGTGATCAAGTCCATCCCCAGCCTCCCATCAACCAAGGTCTCACAGGCCCACCCAGGGTTCGGAGCTGCCCACAAGTCTTCGGGGCCCAGGAACCGATGCACTCTTCCTGCAAAGTGTCAGCCACCCGCTGCCTATGAGGCCTCGGGGCAGCCCCCTCACTGCTTCGCTACTCCCACCCCTGGCTCCCACCTGCTTAGGCTGAAGAAGGAACTGCTGGTGGCTGCGCACCTACAGTCTCCTGGGGACACTGTCACCATGACCTCGTCACCATGCTTTTCAGCCTACTAGAAGGCACGCTGATGGAAATGATGGATTCTGGGCCCGGCATACGGTATTCACCGAGTATAAATGGAAACTAATGCCCAAGAAAAGAGGGTTGGCCCACGAGATGGTGTGGCCAGGGCAACACCGGACCCTAACAATGGTGGCACCAACAGGTATCCGACGTGGAAAGATGGTACAACATCCCAGGTGCCAAGACTGTGCTTGCACACTCAGGCGCTCACCACATGCGTGCCAAACGTCATTGATCGGATGTTCTAGGTGCGTGTATCCTGTTCACCAAGCCTCCTCTCTTCCCGGCCCACCAGCCAGCCTGGGGAGGAAGGCAGTTGCCGCCCACAGGGAGACGATCTGTTTCCTTGGTGGGCTTGAAGAAGGCTTCACAGAGAAGGGGTGCAGGGGCCAGGCCCTGAAATGGAGGAAGACCATCCTGCTAAAGGGACCACTGCGATCAAACACACGTCAGCACCTCATAATAGAGCACAGATCTCCAGTCTGACCTCCTCCCTGTCTCCTTCACCCCAAGTGCACTGGGGGTGCACACAGTGGGCCCGGTGTGCTTCTGTTATCCCTTTGGCTGGTCTATATGCACCCCGTTGCTGTTTGGAGTGCACCCCTACTGCAAGTGGTCCACAGAAATGGAGGGACCAGGCCCTTCTCTCTACCCCACTGCCATATGCAGGCATGTGACCTGGGCTCGGCCAATCACACACTCCCAAGCTAGCACATGACCCCAGGGAGCCAATCAGATGCTCCCCCTGGACCCAGGGAGGAATGCCACCGAAAGAGAATCAGCCTTGAGCTCACTGTGGCCGTGGTGGCCCTGGGCCGACTGTGGGGCTGTCAGCTGGTCTGCCCGCTGAGAGGCTGCCTGGGCTGCCGTTTAAAAATCTGGTTTTGCAGCTCTTGCCGAGTCTGCGAATCCCAGTGGAGCCAGGGCAGGTCCATTTCTGGCACTTCAGAGCACCCCATGTTTAGTCACCCAAGTGTGTAGTTGGTGTTTGTGGATCACTGTGACAACACAGCTCCAATAGTCAGTGTCACCTGCTTTGTGCCAGGTGCCCCGCTGGCTGCGGGCCGCAAATACAAAGCATGCAAAGCCCACAGACCTGGCTAGCCCAGCTCACAGGCAGATGGACCATAAACCACAAACCCGCGAGGTGACTTTGAAGGTAGGACGCTGAGAGTGAGGAGGGCAGGGTGCCTGGCAGAGCGCTGCCCCAGGGAGGGAGCCGGGGGCTGAGACACGAAAGACGGGAAGTTACAGTTCCTGCCCTCGACCACTTACAGTGAGCATCCAATGAAATACGGGGCGTACAAGGGCCTGGTGAGCAGGCCAGGTAGTATAGTCTATCGCCTCCTGATAACCAATACTTCTAGGTGCCGAGCAGAATGCTAGGCACAGGTGCTGAGTCTACTTAAAGGGGAAAAAAAAGAATTCCCCATAATGTTTCCAAAACAGCTACCGCTGCATAAATCGAGTGGTGCAGTCCTGATGGGACACTGATGGGACTTTTTTTTTTTTAACTAAGTAGAGTCTTGAGTAGTAAAGCCAGCGTCTCACAGACATTCTACAACACGGAGGAGGCACAAGCCAAACGGGGAACTTGAGACCCAACGCTCAGGAGGCTGATGGGCTCGCCCAGTCCCTGTGTCACTGGGACTTTTCAACCAGCCAATAATGAGACACTGAGATTTCGACAGTTGCTTCTGAGCTTAGCAGCCACATGGGGAAGACCAAGTCGACTCACGTGGCCTGTACTAGCCCTGGAGAAAGACGAGCTTCCAGTGTCAGCGCCAACACCTAGCAGCAAGCCCTGTGACCTTGGGCGAATTAGTTTATCTCTCTGAGCCTAAGAATCCTCATTTGTAAAAATGTGGGGAAATACTTCCCTTACAGAGTTTAGGGAATGAAATTAGGACACATTGTATTCGTTTCTGAGGGCACCTGTAACAAAGTAACACAGACTGGGGGAAAGGGACAGATTTAAACAAAACACATTTATTCTCTCACAGTTCTGGAGGCTGGAAGTCCAAGATCAAATTGAGGTCAGGGCTGGTTCCTCCTGAGGCCTCTCTCCTTGGCTTGCAGACAGCCACCTTCTCCCCGTGTCCTCACATGGTCTTCCTTCTGTGCATGTCTGTGTCCTAATCGCTTCTCATAAGGACACTAGTCATGTTGGATTAGGGCCCAACGTAGTGACCTGATTTTACCTTAATCACCTCGTTAATAGTCCAGTCTCCAAATACAGTCACATTGTGAGGTGCTGCGAGTTAGGATTCCAACATATGAATTTGGAAGGGATACAATTCAATCCATAACAGTAACATATGCAAAGGCCTTGGCACACAGTAGGACCTCCATAAATGCCACACTTGCTCGACCGGAGTTTTTAAAATAATAGCTACCACTTAGAATGCCTACTAAGTGCCAGCAACACGGTATGCATTTTCTATGCGTCATCTCTAGTCCAGGGAACAACCCAGTGAGACGGGTCATCACCATGTCTCAGGGCCTGCCACACACACTTCCTCCCACGCATGCCCTGTGTGGGAGGGGCTGCAGTGCATTCACCCAGGCACCCACTCAGTCCTTCAGCAAATAGCCATGGAGTCCTACTGTGTGCCAGGCCCTGTGCATATCCCTGTGCCATATTCACTGGGGGAGTTTAGTAAGCAAGAAGCACATGGTCTCTGCCCTTAAGAAGCTTCATTCTAGTGGGGCAGACAGACCCCATTACAGGTAAGTGCGGAATACCTGGGGAGACCAGAAAGGGCCTTCCTCAAAACAGGCCCTGGTGGGGCCGGCCGAGTGGCGCGATGGTTAAGAACTCGCTTGGGATGCCAGAGGGCCCCGGTTCAGATCCCACATATGAGGGCCAGTGACACTGCCCTCCACAGCTAAGATGCTGAACAACGGCTCAACCTGGAGCTGGGCTGCCGTGAGTCGCCGGCGTAGGCTGCAGCCCCTGTGGCAGTGGGTTGCCATGGGCTACTATGTGTAGCCAGCAGCCAGCATGAGCGGCCAGCAGCCGCAGTGAGCGGCCATCCAGAAGCCGGTGACTGATCTGCCTCGCCCGGGAAGAGCGCAATGATGGTGCCAACTTGGGCCAGTGAAGCAACTTCCTCCACAACTAGATTGAAGAACAAAAGGACAGCAACTTGTCTGTTCCCCTTTCCCCAATTCCCCAGCACTGTTCCCATCCCCCCAATTCCCCAATAAAAATCTTTAAAAAAAAAAAAAAAAAACAGGCCCTGGTACCGGGTCTTCAACTGTCGATGGGGTTTGACAATGTGGGGGGAAGGACGCACTAGGGGGAGGGGCCGGGTGTGCAAAGGCTGGGGGATGGGACCATGGCCTTGTGTCTGGAGCTATGTGGGACATGCAGGGGTGGGTGCAGGTCACCCTCCAGCCCCCACCCCTCCCTCGAGAGCTGGGACAATGATCTCACCTCAGAGAGTCTAGTTCTTCACTCCTAAATGGCCACAGCTGACACCTCAAATCCTGGCTCTACATTGCTTCGCTGTCTGGCCATGGAGTCAGGTGGCCTCTCTGTGCCCGGGTTCCCTCCTCTGTAAAATGCGGACACAAGAGTCTCTACCTTTGGGGTTATCCTGAGGACTCCTTGGTTAACATGGGCAAAGAACTTAGCACGCACCTGGTACCCAAAAGGTACAAAGAAGGCATTTGTCCTTATTCTCATTCACAGGGGGCTGGCATGAGGATGAGAGGGAGAAAGTGGCAACGCTGTGTGCCCCGTGGCAGAGGCTGCATGAGGCCAAGGGCCTTCCCTCTCAGCCACGTCCCTACAGCAGCCTGCACGGCTCCCGTGAGCCCTCCCTCCTGAACCCTGATGGTCTCCTGCCCATCTGATGCCTCCTGGGAGACTGTGCACTCCCCGGGCAGGTGATCAGACACATCCGCCTCACATGTAATTAAGAACAGGCTCAGGAGTCTGGTTCTGGCCACACTCAGCTCTGTGACTCACTGACTGTTTGTCCCAGACACATGCACAACCTCTCTGATCTGAGCCGCCTCGGGGCAGCGCCATCACCCAGAGAGAAAGGGGTCACGCCAGCCCTCCTCCCGAGTCCTGTGTAGACCTGGGGTTAGCCAGGTACGATGTGCAGTGCTCCCTGAGCAGCCCCGTTCTACGGGTTCTGTGGGTCTCAGAGCACACGTGCTGAGCCTTGGGCACTATGTTCACCTCTGTCACCTGCCCAGATATGTGCACATGTGGCTTTTGGTTTCTGAGCCAAGACAAAACCCTCTGCCTTTCTGTAGGGACAGAGCGCAGGGCGGCCTGAAAGGTGTGGTTTTGCGCTCGGCACACACAGGATCCCTTAGGAAGCATGTCCCAACTAGTCCTCAACATGGCAGCGCAACCTGGCGTTTCTGAATCCACCGCAGCATCGGAACCTGAGGGTCGTGGACTGAATGTGTGTGTCCCTCCCAAATGCACATGTTGAAGCCCTGATCCCCAATGGAATGATATTTGGAGGTGGGGACTTTGGGAGGTGATTGGGTCATGAGGGAGGGTGGGGCCCCCTACGATGGGGTCGGTGTCCTTATGAGAAGAGACACGAGAGCTTGCTTCCTCTCTCTCCATCACATGAGCACACAGCAACAAGACACTGTCTACCAGCCAGGAAGCGGGCTCCCACCATGAACCGAATCTGCCGGTAACTTGATCTTGGATTTCCAGCCTCCAGCACTGTGAGAAATAGATGTCTGCTGATCAGGCCCCCCAGGCCAGCAGTCCGAGCTGGCTGTGATAGCAGGAAGGGCATATGTTCGAGCAAATGGGTGTGCACAGAGAACTGGGCCTGGAATCCATACGTGTGTCTCAGGGACTCTGCAGCGCCAGCGCATCAGGACCAGGTCAGGTGGGATGGACTGAGCCCTTTCCCAGAGGCAGGCTTTGCCTCCCTCTCGGCTCTGATCCCTGCATCCCATCCGAGGGGCCGGTAGGCACCTAGCCATTGCTATGGTGCTCACAGGACCGTGCCTGTCACCTCCCCTCTTGGCTGCTTCAGTCCTGGGGACCAGCTGAGTCTCTGCCCAGCCTGGGAGTGTCACCTAAAGTTAACCATTGCAGTTGGCAAACTGATAGTCAATATGTAAGGTTTATGGCCCACAAGGCCTCTGTGGCAACGCCTCAGCTCTGCCTTTGTAGGGCAAAAGCAGCCACAGATAATATGTAAATGAACAGGTGTGAGACTGTGTTTCAATAAAACTTTATTTA